CGGGAGCCCGGGCGCGGCCCTGGAGTCTGTGCTAAGACTCCCCATAACTGGCAGGTGGGACGAACGGGTGAAATGCTTAGGGCTGGCTAGTCTGGAGGTCGGGTATCTCTGCCTCTTGAGGACCCTGGGTCCAAAGTTAAGAACCGTGAACGTTTGAGGAACTTGCCTTTACAAAATCAACTGGAGTCGAGGGTGGGCTGAGCCAGGATTCCAGCGTTGACGACTGAGAAACTTCTAGTTTTCCATTTCAGCTGCGAGCTCGCAAGCTGGGACAGTCTGTGGTATTTGGGTGTGAGAGAATGGCCGAGCCCACATCTTCACACCACCTGGCCTTTGTCTCCAGACCCGGAATCCCTTGGTGGCAGTGTACTACACCAACCGTGCTCTGTGCTACCTGAAGATGCAGCAGCCTGAGCAAGCACTGGCGGACTGTCGGCGGGCCCTGGAACTGGACGGACAGTCTGTGAAGGCCCACTTTTTCCTGGGGCAGTGCCAGCTGGAGATGGAGAATTACGACGAGGCTATTGCCAATCTGCAGCGAGGTGAACTGACAAGTTGTCCGGTCACAGGGCACACGGGGCCAGGAGGGTGGACCAGCCCGAGTGTGACCTGACAACTCCATTTTCCCAGCCTACAGCCTGGCCAAAGAGCAGCGGCTCAACTTTGGGGATGACATTCCTAGTGCCCTGCGTATTGCCAAGAAGAAGCGCTGGAACAGCATTGAAGAGCGGCGCATCCACCAGGAGAGTGAGCTGCACTCTTACCTCACTCGGCTCATCGCAGCTGAGCGAGAGAGGTGGGCCCCTCCCCTACCGGCCGCCCTCTCGCAGGTTAAGCTGAGTCACCAACACAAGTGTTTATTGAAAGGCTGACATGGGTGCACAGGAAGCTGACAGGGAACAGCTTGAGATGGGAGTGGGCTCTGATCTCCTGGCCAGGTTCACCTCTGACCAGCTCCTGGTCAATCCTCAGGGAGCTGGAAGAGTGTCAGCGAAATCAAGAGGGTGACGAGGACGATGGCCATATCCGCGCCCAGCAGGCCTGCATTGAGGCCAAGCACGTGAGGGTGCCCTAGGCCCACATGAGGGTCTGTGTGTGAGTGTGTGCGTGCATGTAACTGAGGAGGCCCTGGCCCACAGGTGAATGGATCTGTCCCTATGGTACTATGGTAACAGTGCCCCTGGTTCATGTTGGTATGTGTGCTGTAAGTGTGAAGAATATTCAAGTGGCCCACACACGGTGCTCAATTCTTTACAGGATAAATACATGGCGGACATGGATGAGCTCTTCTCTCAGGTAGATGAAAAGAGAAAGGTGAGCATTTTCTCTGAAGGCTGCGAGTAGCAAGTGCTGAAGCAGCGTTCCTTTCCTGGCCCCTGACACTGTCCCTATGTGCTGTAGAAGCGAGATATCCCCGACTATCTGTGTGGCAAGATCAGCTTTGAGCTGATGAGGGAACCGTGTATCACACCAAGTGGCATCACCTATGACCGAAAGGACATTGAGGAGCATCTGCAGGTAAGGGCCTATGAGCCTCAGGACCAGGGCTGGAGGCACAGACTGGCACATGGAGCACTCTGACCCTGTTGTCACTGCAGCGTGTGGGCCACTTTGACCCTGTGACCCGGAGCCCCCTGACCCAGGAACAGCTCATCCCTAACCTGGCCATGAAGGAGGTCATCGATGCATTCATCTCTGAGAATGGCTGGGTGGAGGACTACTGAGGCCCATTGCTCCACCCTGCTTGATATCCTGGCTCAGGAAGGTCCTGAGGCAGAAGCCCCAGTTCCTGTACATAATTTGTGTCGCTGTGCCTGCCCCCATCAGTTCTGCTGGTGGGCTCTGGACTGCTACCCCTCTCAGCATAGCCTTTGCCAGGCTGTGAGTCTCTCATCTTTCTGGGCTGGAAAAGCAGATAGGGGTGGGTTGGGTTGAAGCTGCCATTGCTGCCACTGTTCCTGTAATAAAATTTGTGACCTGTACATGGGCACATGCTGGTGTGTGTGGGCCTGCCTCTTCTGGCTAGCCAAGGAAGGTGGAGATGAAGACACTGGTGTCAAGGTTGAGTGTGGCGTGCCACCAGCGGTCAGGGAAATACAGCACCTGTGGAGGGGAGCACAGGATTTAGTTGGACTTTTTGGCCTGGCAAGGCTCCCTCCTGCCAGCTACTGACCTCACCAGCCCGAATGGTACACTCCAGGGGCCTTTCCGCTGGTGCCAAGGCTGGGTACGTGTCCCGAAGCCAAGTCAGTGTGGTTTTGTTGGGGTGGAACTCCGGGGTCTTCTCAGGTGGATAGAGAAACCAGTGCTGGGGAGAGGATTTCAAAGTCACTCTCCTGTAGTCATCACACCCCAAGCCTCATCACCACCACCATGTGCTAACCTTACGACCATAGATCACCTCTGAGAATCCGGGCCCATGCCAGTGGAAGGGTACCCCGGAGCCAGCTCCTGTGGGGTCAGTGATGAGATAGTAACTGAATTTAATCTGTTCTGCCCCCGTTACACCTCCTGGTCCTGAGGAGAACCCACCTGCAATTCCAAAGCTATAAGCAGGAGTGGTTCCCAGCAAATGAAATGGAGGTGGGGAGTAGTGCTGGAATAGTGATGCCCACTCTGTGAAGTTGTTGTCCCCAAAAAAGTATAGAGTGTCTGTCAACAGGAAAAACAAGAGGCAGGGATCCTGGCAACTGGGACACCCAGGTGCCCCACTCCCACTGCTGCCCAAAGCTGGCTTACTATTGCCCAGAGAAGCAGGGTCTTGGGGATGTAGCAGCTGCTCTACATATTGGTGGAAGGGCACGTCCACTGTGGGAAAGGGGATGGTGAGGACCAGCTGGTTCTGCCTTCAGGATGTTGGCAAGCAGGCAGGCCCCCAAGAGGTGGGGCAGCTCACCTTTCTGGTAAGAGTAGGTGTTGGCGGTGCTGAGCCGAACCACGTGGTCCCCAAAGGTGGCCAAAAGACTCTCTCTGGAGCACAGGGCCCGGAATCTCTGAGGGGGTCAAGAAACTCTTTACGGCTGAGCAAGTAGGGCCAGCTGCCCACAGTGGGCTTCAGCACTCACCGAGTTATCCGTGAGTCCTTGTAGGATGACGGGCCTGAGGAAGGCGTAGCTGGAGGAAAAAGGGGCAGAGTCGAGTTCGGGTCATGTGCCCCCATGGCCCCGACGCGCGCTGAAGATTGGGGACGGGGGCCAGGGCGCTAGTGTTCCGATGCCGGCGAACCCGGCCGGAAGAGTGGGGCACATACTGCTGCACAAACTCAGCATAGGTCAGGTCGGACCGCCGCTCCACGGTGCAGCATTCCTCCACGGCCACGTCCGGCCCCGGTCCAGCCTGCCGCCTGGAGACATCGGATCACCGCAGCTTGCCCTCCGCCCCACGCCGTCCCGCGCCCCAGCCCGCCCTGCGCCCCTCACCATCCCCCGCCGTCCGCTGCCTCCGAGCAGAGTCGAGCCAACACCAACAGCCACAGCACAAGAGGCACAGGCGGCCGCAACTCCAAAGCCATGGCCCACCGCCGACGCACAGCACGCCGGGAACTCCCTGCCTGCACGCCAATGGCTAGCAGCTCAGTCGTCGTGGCAACGGGTCGGCTCCCGGAAGCAGCCTTCTTCAGCCCGCCCCAAGTTCCGGAAGAGACGCGAAGACCACACTGAGTTGCTATTGGCTGCTAATTACTATGACGATACTGACCCAGCTCTCCCTTACCCTCCATCCCGTGGAGCGACTGCTAACAGTCCGACAGCAACTCCTGCCTTTTATTTAGTTCATAAGCTCCAGCCCCCTTTCATGCCTGCACGGAAGCAGGCTGGAAGCTGTGTCTAGTCCTGACGGGCCTCCGCTGAGCTGTGGAAGCTGACCCAGGCCACGGACCGCACGTCAGGAATACTCGCAGAGGTGGCCACAGCCCGCAGGGCAGTGGGTGCTGCCTTCCAACCACTTCATGATGTGTTGCAGGTGGCCGCCGTGGCTGCAGCCCTGGCACCACACAAACAGACCCTTGACCACGTGGTGGCAGACAGCACACATGCTGGCACAGCGATGGCACCTGGGGGCGGAAAGACACCTCAGCGGGGGTTCTCGCGCTGCCTAGGCCCTAAGCTTCTAACCCCACAGCCCCTGTCGCACCCACCTGTCCACAGACCCACCTGTCGCAGACCCAGCCCCGGCTGCTCATGGGCCGCTTGCAGTGGCTGCAGTTGACATGCAGGGTGGTGGAGGCCTGGTTGAGGCAGCTCACAGCTTGGCTGGTACTCAGCTTGACCACCTGGTTGGACACGTTCCAGAGGCGGAACCGCTGCAGCAGGTCAATGTATGATGTGTACCAGTGCTCCTGAGGGGATGGAGCCAGGAGGTCAGGACACTAGCTGGGCTCACACTAGGAGGGTCTGTCCCCAGCATGTACAGGGATGGTGCTGGGGCAGCAGCTATTCCAGGGAGCCCGCCCATGCTCCACCGCACACACCTGGGTTTGTTCATCAATGTCCTTGCGAACACGTTCACCTAACACGATGAGCACGGATACGGCCATCTGCACATCACCCTGCTCAGCATAAAAGCGCAGCATGTCGCACACCAGTACACTGAAGAAGTCAGCCGGCAGGCGGCTGTCATACAGCGCATGTGAGATGGAGAGGAGGGAGAAGGAGGAATCCACAGGTGCCAACGAGGCTGCATCCGCCTCACTGCCACTCACATGTGGCGAGTCGGCCTTGTCCTGCAAGTGCTCAGGCCCAGATGGTGTGTCCACAATCTCATGGCGTAACGGGAAGGCCTCCTGTGGCAGCACGTACTCAGACTCCTCGGCTGGGAGGCAGGAACCAGCTGGTGGGCCTGGGCCTCCCCTGCCCCTCCCCGTCCCCTCCCCAAGCCCCCCGCACTCATAGGCGCGTTCTCTGACCCAACCCCCACCCAATGAGAGCCCTTACTCACGGTGTGCGTGTTCTGGGTCTAGGGGGTACAGCTCATCCTCCTCACCCTCCACATCACCAAGCAGGTAGTCAGTGGGCACATCGCTGCCCTCAGTTTCCTCATTGTCTACCCAGCATGGGAGAGAGGTCATTCAGGAGTGGCTCACTGTGCAGTACCGAACCCCACCCCCATCAGCATCCTGCCTGCCCTCCAGCCTACCCTCATTAGTGATGAGAGTGGCCGAGGAGTCAAGCAGAACTGTGTCACTTCGTGTGTCCCCTTTGCTTCGATCCAGCCTTGTCTCACTGCCTAGCCCAGGAGCCATGTCCTTCAGGTTGAAACTGAGGGCAGGAAAGGTTCATGAGTGGTTGAGCTCTAACAACCCCACCGTCTGAGGAGAGCCAGCCCTAAGCATCTACCTGTTCATGAGGGGCAGGCCACAGGAGCTGCCCTTGCCCACGCTGTGGTTGAGGTTGGCAGAGGGCATCAGACCAGAGCTACAGTAGATGATCCGCAGCATGGTCCATGTCTGTGCTACCTAGGGGCAGGTACCAGCAATTTACCAGGCCCTGGACACAAAGCACCCCAGGTAGTGCCTCTCTGCCTGGATAGAATCACACACCAGCATTCGGCTGCCCTGGGGTCCCAATTTCTTGGCCCACGGGAAAAATTAAAACCCCAGTCTCTATCTTGCAATAACACAGGGCAAACAAAATTGAGAGGCAGCCAATGCAGAGGAAGCAAGGGGGCCGACAGGACCAAGAGAGGACATGTAGCAGGCAGCTCTTGCCTTTCTACAGGGCCACATGTCATGGTAGGTTGGACACCAAGAGCGAGTCAGAGGAGAGGCTTCGGCCACATGAGCTCCTAGACTTCTCCCATCTGGTCAACTCTGGCCCTGTATGATCTTGACACCCTCAGTTACTGGTGCAAGTGCTGGTGTAGGACTTATCAACCCAAGCCCTCAGCTTGGGGCAGCGGGTGGTACAGCTGTCAGGGCAGCCAACCCCTGCCCCAAGGCCAATGCCCTTGGTCTTCCCTCAGCCCAACCTACCTGGTTTCGGCCCAGCTCTCGAGCTACCTTGGCATTGTGGTCACAGAGCTCAGCCAGTGGCCGGCCAGTGAGAGCGTAACGCTCAGCTGTGTCCACAAACCAGCTCATACTCCCACCACCAGGCTCTATCTCAAAGACACTGAGGGCACTGGAGGCAAGGCCTGAAAAGGGTTCAGCAGGGTCCAGCTTGCGCTTGAAAAAGATGGGATGGCGCCGGTCACCAGTGTACGGCTTGCGTCCCGATTCAGCAGCCACTAGACTCTCCTTGGCAGCAAAGGCCAGGTCCCCAAAAAGGCCGTAACAGAGGCCCTCAGGGTTGGCATGCTCAACAGGCTGGCTGGCATCGCGAAATAGGTGCTGGCACAGTGTGCTATCCTTGGAGCCCGAGAGCAGAAAGGAGGGGTCATGGGGATGGCGCCAGGCAATGCCTGTTGTTACATCACGATGCTCCTCAAACATAGCGGCTGGCACAAAGGGCCGACGCACATCCCACACGTAGATGTTGTGATCCACCATCATGGAACACGTGGCTAGGTGGTGGCGGCACTCAGGCCGCCACTTGACACGAGCCACTGAGGCGATGGTCTGCACGCAGTGCATCTCCTTGGCACGGTGTGTGGTCATATCCCAGACTTTCACCATCTTGTCACGCCCGCCTGTGGCCAGCCAGCCCCTGCAGGAAAGCCCCACACAAGCTGTCAGTGACCTCTCTGGAAGAGAGGAAACTCCCAGCTCCGCTCCCCCTGCTCTCTGCCCCACAGGTCTCAAGTCAGTGAGACTTCTATGGGCCTCGCTGTCCCGACACCCCTGGAACCACAACACACCTGTCCTCAGGGTGCCAGTCACAGCAGAAGACGGGCCCGTTGTGGGCCGTGAACATCCTCTCACATCGGTCAGGACGGCGGATGTCCCATAGCTGTACGTTGCCATTCTCAAAGGTGGAGGCAAATGTGAAGTAGTCTCGGATACTGAACTGGACATCTCGCACGCTCTCAGACTGGCCTGCAGGCAGGGAGAGCATCACTGGAGGTAGAAGTAAGGGGGCTGACCCGCTGGGTGGGGAGCCCTTGGAATGGCTACAGAATGGTGTCACACACCTGCGTATGGCTAGGCCAGGAGGCCCAGAGGGTAAAGTAGACAGTCCAAAGATCTTCCCAGTGTGAGGGAAGCTTAGAAAAGGGAGGACACCCTGGGTGGTTTCTACACAAACCCCATAGCCTCAATTCTCCCTGAATTCTGCATCTTATATTATTCCTTGCACAAAGGTGTAAGCTCACCCTCAGGAGGCCATATATAAACACTAGGGGAATGGGAGCCCTACCTGACTATCTTTTCAAGTCTCCTGAGGGGGCCGGGGATTTAGCTCAGTGGTGCTGCCGCTTGCCTTGCAAGCTCAGGGTCCTGAGTTCGATCCCTGGTACCAAAAACAAAACAAATCAAAGTAAGTCTCCTGAGGGCCAATGTCCTGTGGGAGTTATGGGGAAAGGTACCTCAGACTTTGCCAAAGGCTGGAGCTGCATGGTCCACCCAAGTGCCTGAGAGGACAGTGTCCAGCCTTTCCCTGACAAACAGGTAGCTCAGAACGGACCTTTTCTTTTTTTCTTAGTGAAGGTCTCACTATGTAGTTCAGAATATTCTTGAATTCACTACGCAGCCCAGGCAGGTCCTAAATTTGTGGCAATCCTCCTGCCTCAGCCTGCTGAGCAGTGGGATCAGACGTGTGTGGCCCACACTGGGCAAGATTGTTTTTTGTTTTGTTTTGTTTTGGTAGCGGGGATAGAACTTGGGTCCTTATGCTTGCAAGGTAGGAGGCAGAATCACTGAGCTAAATCCCCGGCCTGGCAAGATGTTTTTGTTTTGTTTTGGTACTGGGCATTGATTGAACTAAGGACCTTGCACTTGCAAGGCAGGCGGCAGAACCATTGAGCCAAATCCCCAGCTCCAAGATCTGTTTTAATATGCCTCCAAGCTGGGTGTGGTAAGAGGCTGAGGCAGAAGATTGTAAGCTTAGGGCCAGCCTGGGCTAAATAGTAAGTTCAAGGTGGGCTTGGACTACATAGTGAGACCCTCCCTGTTTCAAATAAAATAAAATATAAAAAAGAAGCCAGGCATGGTGGCGCATGCCTGTAATCCCAGCACTTGGGAAGCTGAGGCAGGAGGATCGCTGTGAGTTCGGGACCAACCTGGGCTACAAAGTGAGTTCCAGATCAGTCTGAACTACATAGTGAGACTCTGTCTCAAACAAACAAATTAAAATAAAAAGAAGCTGCCCGAAAAATTTTCTGAGGCCTAAGGGCTCTGCTTTGTTCTTCACTTGGTGTCATCAAGGTAGACAAAGGAGAGCTGGCTCAGGGCTGGACATCAGGAGCTGGGCCTGGGGGAACTAGACAGTGTACTCTACCTCCTCTGCATCCCTGGGCTGAAAACCCTGGAGACCTGGTAGACTTCCTGTAAGAAGGGGAGCCTGGTGAGGTGAGAAGAGGGAGTAATGCCCTGAGTGGAACTAATCAACCACTCCGCTGAGCTGTGAACCCTCATGCTGTTCTCCATTGTGCCACCCTTAGCCTCAATTCCTGCTCATCCTGCCTTCCACCACCATTCCCTTGGTTCCTGCTTCACCCAGGCCTGCCCCGCACCGCCTCTGCTGATCCAGCCACTCTGAGGCACACAGCAAGTGTCTGGGTAGGTCAAGCGCTACAGAGACAAATGTCTACCCCATCCTGCCTCTATGGGCCTCACCAGAGAAAGTGCTGACAGAATCCTTCCTGCGGAGGTCGAAGCACTTCATGAAGCCATCTTGGGAGCCACTGAGCAGCACATGGGCCTCAGTGGGGTGGAAGCAGACTTTGTTTACAGTGCGTTTGTGTTCTGTGAACAGCTGGTCCTGCTTGTTCCGGGATGGCCGACCCAGGTTCCACGTGACCACCACACCATTGGTGGCTGCGGTGGCCAACAGGTTCTCGTCCATCTGGTGCCACACCACATCCGCACAGCTCAGGTTGAGTGAGGGCTTCCGGCCCACACGCAGGTTCAGCTTTTCCACGAACTGCTCCTCCTCAATGGCAAAGATCTTGAAGATGCTGCGGCCTGCCACAACCACCTGGGCCGCATCACGGCACACGCTGATGGCATTCGCCGGTGCATCTAGATGGCAGTGCATGGTGCGACCAGTCAGTGCACTGCTACCAAGGGCCGTGGTCACGCGGGACATCTTCTCCATGGCTGCGTGGGTGGTGGGGGCAGGTCAGTAAAGTGGGTTGGCCTGGGACTTTGTGAGTTCAGACTGCATTAGCTTGGGTCCCCCGGCACTGCTCGGGCCTGGCCTGGTCGGCCTTTTGTTACCAGTGCAGGAAGTCTATCAGGCAGTCGGCCTCATAAAGAAGTTCAAACTCACTGAAGTCAGCCAGAAGGCTCTGTAGCTGTCCTCAGACTGATCACTACCATGTCTGACTTCCCCAGAAGACCATCGTTCCTTTCCGCCCGAGACACCCTTGCATCACGGTCGGCGCAGGGTCTCCGAAAGCAAGAGGGCTCCGGGAGGAGCAAAATGGGGTAGGGGTAGAGCGACCCAGGGGACTGAACTGTTTAAGGAGCCTGAAGGAGAGGTCGGCAGAACAGACTACGAGGTTCTGATGTCGCGGGGTGGCGAAGGCTGCAGCACCAGAACCAGAAGAGTAGAGACCCTCTCTTCCCGCAGGGACTCCAGTCATTTACCAAGAGAAGACCGCTGCCGGGAACGGCCTCGCCGGAAGTGGCCCATCTCTTTTCCGCCCCTCGTCGGAAGTGGTCCATTCCTTACCAGCACCCCTCCGGAAGCGGGTACAGACTTGCCAATACGATAATGTTCCGTGTCCTGTCGCCCGGCTGGATCAGGTTTGGGGTCTGGAGGTTCCGCGATTCCGGGTCGGTAGTTTGTTCCTGTGCTTATTTTATTTTATTTTATTTTATTTTTTTAGACAAGGTCTCACTATGTAGTTGAGACTGACCTGGAACGCACTATGTAGCTCAGGCTGGTCTCAAACTCACAGTGATCCTCCTGCCTCACACTCCCGAGTGCTGGGATTGCTTTTAATTGTATTTTTCCGGTGCTGGGGATCGAACTCAGGACTTTGTTCGTGCAAGGCAGGGGCTGCTACACTGAACTAAGTCCCCGGCCTTTTTTTATTTCCTTTTTTTTTTTTTTTT